AATTGGTTAATTGTCTGACTCTTGATTTTGGCTCAGGTCATGATCTCAGGGTCCTGTGATCAAGCCCCAGACTGGACATCACACTCAGCGGGGAGTCTGCTTAAGGATTCTGTCTCTCCTCCTCCCCTTCCCCCTATTTGGGTGCACTAAAACTTTAAAAAAAGAAAGAAAGAAAAAAGAAATACCTAAGTCTCATTAGATTTACACTAGAAAATTGTGTAGAGTAACTCAGACTAGAAAGGCATACTTCACTTGTGTTCCTAGGCGTCTCATGGCTTGGCAGCAAACTAATTATCTATCATTTTATTGTAACGTATTAAAGCAAGCATTTAAAAGAACTGAAAACTGAGTTCCTCAAAAATACTAAAGAACCTGTCCCTTGTATTTTTTGGTTGGTTAACATTTTTTTAAAATATTTTATTTATTTATTTGACAGAGAGATCACAAGTAGGCGGAGAGGCAGGCAGAGAGAGAGTGGGGGAAATAGGCTCCCTGCTGAGCAGAGAGCCTGATGCGGGGCTCGATCCCAGGCCCCTGGGATCATGACCTGAGCCGAAGGCAGAGGCTTTAACCCACTGAGCCACCCAGGCGCCCCAAGGTTGGTGAACATTCTTTAGGTATTAACCAGTTCTTCCCAATTCATTGTCATTATTTCTATTTTTATACTTTGTGGCTCCTGAAGTATTTCTTCCATCAGCAAAGCAAGGTACAGGCAAAACTTTTTTTTTTTAATTTTTTTTTTTTTTAAGATTTTATTTATTTGACAGAGATCACAAGTAGGCAGAGAGGCAGGCAGAAAGAGAGGAGGAGGAAGCAGGCTCCCTGCAGAGCAGAGAGCCCGATGTGGGGCTCGATCCCAGGACCCTGGGATCATGACCTGAGCCTAAGGCAGAGGCTTTAACCCACTGAGCCACCCAGGCGCCCCCAGGCAAAACTTCTTTAAGGACCTTGCCATACCAGCTTATGCTCAATCCTTCCTGAGATTTCTTGACGTATAAATGCACCAGCCAAACCCAGACATGCAGGTTGATCTATCACCACTAAACAAGTAGACATAAGCAAAATCTGGTAGGCAACCTAAAGCAAACATTGTTCCTCACCAAGTCTCCCAACAATGCAGATCTGACTAATACTGACAAAAAAATGCTTCCTTTCTTAATGTAGTTCACTGCTGGTAATTTATTCTTTTATCTTTCACGTTACTGGTTATTTAAAAAATAAACTCCAGTAAAGCTAGCACATGGCTACACACTGGTTTCCCATTTAGTCACACTTACCATTTATCTTCCATGCACCAGGGACCTAATATGTGCCTGCGATAAGATAACCTCCCTGTACCCTTGGAGATCATGACAGTAGTGGGCTGCCTTGGTTTGCTGCAGGATGGAGATATGTATTAGTCAAGATTTTTTATCACAAACGTTGAAAAAGTAATCTACTGGCAAGCATAGGGCCGCCACAGAATGAGAGATTACAGAATGATATCCAGTAACTGGTACCATAGGGAAGGTTGTATGGTAGAAATACCGTCTTCAGTCCCCACATGACGCCTTCAATTAAGATATAAAACCCAGGGAATATTTTGGTGCAGAATAGCTCAAACCCGAGGCTCAAGTAGTGGCACCAGAATGTACAGATTTTTACATTCAGAACATTAAGAATACATTCTTAAGCAAAAGGTCACTTCTTAAAAAGAAATTCATCAATAGACACAACTGATTCAAATCAACATGAGGCTAATGATATTGAATATAAAGACATGCAGGGCAAAATTTATGAGTTGCCTTTTCAATTTTGTTACATATCAATAAAGAAATACTGATTTTTGGAAAATTCTTCCTATAGACTTTGAAATTGTGTTCTTTTTTGATACCAGTTTTCCCCTTATCAACAGTTTTAATACAGCAAGCTACAGTCTTAATTTTTACAAGGTAGTCTTCATTCAGTATTAGAATTTACATTATAAATATTTGTAAAGTCTAATGTCTTTTTTCAATCTCCATTTAAAATGTAAGCTAAGGGGGCGCCTGGGTGGCTCAGTGGGTTAAGCCGCTGCCTTCGGCTCAGGTCATGATCTCAGAGTCCTGGGATCGAGCCCTGCATCGGGCTCTCTGCTCAGCAGGGAGCCTGCTTCCTCCTCTCTCTGCCTGCTTGTGATCTCTCTGTCAAATAAATAAATCAAATCTTTAAAAAAAAATAAAAAAAATAAAAAAATAAAATGTAAGCTAAGGGACAAATAAGTTCCTTTATATAAATTAGCCCTTAAAATAGTGGGTGACAATTCACTGTTTAAACTACTAGCTGACAAAGAAGAAATGTATTGCCCCTCCCAACCTTCGTAACAGAGAATGGGGAGTAAGATGCTCTTAATAAGTGAATTTTCTAAGTGACATTAAAAGCTAAAACTAATGTTTTAAACTCTATGCAACCCTGTCTGCAGTGTAATTAGTCCACAAATTCAATTTAGCTATATTTACCCCCAAACACTAATATGCTCCACCTTTGTCCTAAGGCAAAGCCCACTGCTTTGAGTTTTGTGTGGTCACATAGCCAATCCTAAGAGCTAACATTTTAACACTTGCCACTATGGTAGTGACTTTGAAAAAACTATTTTACAGGGGCGCCTGCGTGGCTCAGTGGGTAAAGCCTCTGCCTTCAGCTCAGGTCATGATCCCAGAGTCCTGGGATCGAGCCCTGCATCGGGCTCTCTGCTCAGCAGGGAGCCTGCTTCCTCCTTTCTCTCTGCCTGCCTCTCTGCCTACTTGTGATCTCTGTCAAATAAATAAATAAAATCTTAAAAAATATATATTTTACAGTATTACCTAATTGGATCCTCATAAAAAAAATCCTCAGGTTAGTCATATTATCATTTCCATTTTTCCAATCAAGAAATTAAGGCACAGGGGCGCCTGGGTGGCTCAGTGGGTTGAGGTCTCTGCCTTCGGCTCGGGTTGTGATCTCGGGGTCCTGGGATCGAGCCCCGCATCGGGCTCTCTGCTCGGCGGGGAGCCTGCTTCCCTTCCTCTCTCTCTGCCTGCCTCTCTGCCTACTTGTGATCTCTGTCTGTCAAATAAATAAAATCTTTAAAAAAAAAAAAAGAAATTAAGGCACAGTCAAGTTGAGCATCACTCAAGTAACCTATAGTCCTCTCTCACAGCCATCAGCAGGACTTGTAAAGACTGGATCTGAGGCTCTGGATAAATCCTTTTTAGACACTGGCACTTGGATGAATACAAATTGCTACCTCCTCCATCTTCTGTGTGAAAAAGAGGCAAGTTACCTAAAACTGTTGGCATCTATAAAAATAGAGTGCTACTTCACTGGGTGTTAGGAAATAGGTCAGTCCTTAACGGAACTTTTCTACCAGATAAACATCTTTCAAAGTTTTATTTTTTTTTTACGGTTTTCTATTTTTAAGAAATGAGATTTAATAAGTTTCCTTTAAGTATACTATACACCCAACGTGGGGCTGAACTCAAGACCCTGACATCGTGAGTTGCATGCTCTACTGACTGAACCAGCCAAGTGCCCCTTAATGTTTCTTTTTGCTACCCTACAGGGTTTTGTAAGGCAAGTGTGTAAGGAAATGCTTTCCAATGACTTCCAGTGTTTTATTACCCTAAAGCAATTGGAGAACATTAAAGTTCTGTGTATCAAGTGCCTGGAAAATTTTATGCCTTTCTATTACACTAACTGCCCAGCAGAGGTCTCAATCAGACAAATAGAAACAACAGTACTGTACCAGGCCCCTTCTCAGGCAACATTTTAAAGGGACAACTCAGTGATCCAACCAAGTTTAGAGAGTTGCAGGGGGTAACATGTGGCATCTGCATCCATAGTTTATAATGATACCTGGGGTCTCAAAATACTATGAATTCCTGATAGTTAAGAGAACAGTCTGGATGTTAAGCTTGAGATGCCATGTCAGTTCTTCCTTTTAGCTCAATTTCCCATATTGATGGACTTAAGGCAACAGCTTGCTAACTAACAAGGTAGGAAATCTAACAGGAGGTAATCTTTAATATGTCTATATTAAAGCAAACATACATCTATGGAGTGAAAACTTCAAATAATTTAACAAGTCTTTGGTTTCTTACATTATTTCCCCTATATAACCCTAAGATTGTAATTTATTCTAGATTCTGTCCTCAAAAAACAATACAACTGAGTTACTTAATATCTTCAAAGTTGCAAATAGGGGCGCCTGGGTGGCTCAGTGGGTTAAGCCTCTGCCTTCGGCTCAGGTCATGATGCCAGGGTCCTGGGATTGAGCCCTGCATTGGGTTCTCTGCTCAGCAGGGAGCCTGCTTCCCCTTCTCTCTCTCTCTCTGCCTGCCTCTCTGACTACTTGTGATCTCTCTGTCAAATAAATAAATAGGATTTTAAAGTTGCAAATAATGTAGAAATATAAAAACATTACATATCCAGAATATATTTTTAATTAAAAATGTATCTATTTCAGTAGTATGTGGGAGTGAGGGAATTATTTTCTTCCCACTAATACTTCCTTTACTTTTTTCTAAACAAAAAACTTGTAGTTATGTTACAAAAAAGGATCTTATGTGCAAATAATTTGTGATGCTAAAACCATAAATTCTATTTTCCAAGAACAATTAGGAGCTTTATAAAAGAAAGCCACATATCTTAAAAGACACTGCAATTCCTCTGCTTTTAAATCATTGCTATGCTGGAAAAATGTATTTGGTTCTATCAGTAATCTCAGAATTAAGTATTCTCCAAAGTGGAAAGTATACGGTGCCACTTCAGGAGCACATTATTCAGCTCTTACCCCCAGGATTAAGAGCTGCCTATCAAAACAGTTAAAGCAGGTCAACACAGTCCAACATAATTAAGTTTCAATATGTGAGGCCAATATGCTCTTCTAAGATGCTAAGAAACCAAAACAAATACTGAAATCAAAAGATTACTTACAGCTAATTATCATACAGTTTAGTTCTTTGTTGTAAGCCCCCTTTCTATAATATTAATAAAGGGAATACTTTACTGCAAAGAAAATTTATTTTACATATTGCTAGCCATGACTTTTGTTGTTAGTTCACATAAATTTGCCTAGTACCACTATCCAAACAGCAGGACCATTGTATGTCCACATTTGTATTTACAAAGAGAATTTGCATGACTTACATAAATATAACTCTCAGTAGGTTTAACAATGGAGATGGAATCTAACAGCCATAATGATAGCAATGTAGGAGAGATGTATTTTTAATTACCTTTCATTTGAGTGACCTTATTTAAAATATAAATTGATAACTCAAGTTCCTGGTCTCCTAAGGAGATTTTCAAAAACACTTATAGAAACAGTGAGATTTTTAAGAAACATCCTCCATGTCCACATCCTGTTGTAATTTCTGCACCATTTTTTCTTCCAGCTGCTTTCCTTTGCCTTAAAAAAAAAAAAAAAAAAAGAAAAAATTCAATGTGACCTTGCCAAACTTATACCAATACTTAATAAAGGATCTTAGATGTTAAGAAATTTAAGTATAGTTAACTAAACTTACACAGGTCTTACAATCTGCCATGCATAAAGTAAGTATTCCATACACCCTCCTAACAACCTGCATTTTAAATGAGGGAACAGAGACCTAGAGACAGATGAAATTGTACCAAATCACTAAGTAAGCCCATTAAGTCAAAGAGCTAGGATTGGAATCCTGGCCCTCTGGATCCAAAGTCCCTGCTTTTAACACTGTACTTATCTACCCTCAGTGTTACCTAAAAAGTTAAATAACAGTTCATTCCTGTTGTTTGGGGGTCAATTCATATCACCTATACATGAAATAATGCTCCAGGATTTTGTTTATTTTGTTTTAATAAAATTTGGTACAAAAATTAATCTATTTAACCTATTCAACATGCAGTTTCAGAATTTGACCTTTACTAAAGTTTAGGCAGGGAATCATTCAGGAATCAACTCTTCAACTAAATCTCACCCAAATTTCTTTCCCTTCAGGTAATCTGCATAAGTAAATTATATAACAGATGGTATCTGGTGCCTGCTGAGTAAAAACTGGTTTTCCAGCACCTCACAAAAGAAACTATGCACACAAACGACTGCCCAGATGGATGACCACAGGCAAGTTACATAAACACACAAAAAAGGTTTTAAAACCCAAAACAGCAGTTCTCAAACTTGAGTATCAAAATCAGTGTCAGAACCCAGAGAGCTACGAAGGAATGGAAGCTCAGACTCAAAAGGCCTGGGCCTCCATATTTATAAATTCCCCCAATTAATTCCCATTCCTACGAAAGTTAGAAAACCACTCCTATAAAACAGTGTTCTTAATAAAAACAAATAGAAGCAAAGTCTATGAAATTGTTACTTGAATCTTTGGACTAGCTGATGAAATATGATTCTATGAAGAGGGAAAGAAACACCATATGCAATAAAATTGGAACTGGGAAATACACTGTATAAATCATATTTTTAAAAACCAAGTTGTATCATAAATCAGGTATTTACATAAAAAAACATAAAAAGCTGATACTCATTTACATAGACTGCAACAATGTAGATTTTTCATCTCTCTACTGAAAGAGAACTCCTGTGTAATGTAGTACTTACCTGCAAGAGGGGCCCGGATAAGATGAATGTTTTGTTTAACTTCTTTGATGTCCTGAACTTTCTGTAATTCTTTATTTTTCTTTAATCTAGGATAAAACATATCAAAGCCAAAATTTCAGTTACTTCTTTAAAAGATATTAATAATTTATAAAAATAAATTTTATTAGCCACACAGATAAGCAATGAGAACTCAAAATTATTTTCTAGTTCCTAATAAGCATAACAAATCAGGATTTCTACACTACCAATTTGTTCATTGATTATATCCCTAGTACTGAGTTGGGGATAAAGTGGAGATTAATATATATATATTGCTGAGTGAATGAAGAAATGTGATTGAGAGAAAGAATTAAATCTCAGACATCAATGTCTATTATACAAATAAAATGCCTAGATCTTTTCTCCTCAAACTGAGAATACACTGTTACCTAATTTTTTTAAGTCAGTAATTATAAGAACACAAAACATGTAAAACATTCATTTTAGACAAACAAGCTAACAGTCTTTCTCAAACATTTAGGCTCCCTTTTCGTAACAATTCATTTTTTTAAAGCCAGAAAGCTGTTTGCACATGTTTTCTAAGACAGATTTAAATAGTGATGAGATAAAAAATAAGTAAATCTACTTTAAAAGAAAGACCAATTCTAGGCTAGGGCCAGGGAAGTGTAAGATGAGGCCACATCTTGTTAGTCATAAAGAAAGGACCCAAAAAAAGATGAGAAATTGTCAAGATGACATGGAAGCCTGCCTGAAGGAATTCCCACCGGCCAATCTGGAGCACTTAGAACATCAAAATAAATAATGACAAATAATTATAACCCACTGAATACCATAAGAATGAATGAATACACACAGATCTATGAATAAACAATAAAGGAATACATTTTGAAATTGTAAAAGGGAGACGTTCTTTTATATGGGAAAGCCAACTAATAAGTGTGGAAGAAATTACTGAATTGGAAAAATCACCATTTAGCAACAATCACTATAATAACAGATTCAGACAAGGTTCCACTGGATGCTAACACCAGTAGGCATCAGTTTGAGAAATAAGGGACTCTTTGTAGAGTGTCAAAGTATTCCCCTAAGATATGTACTAATTAAAAAGGAGGGAAAGAACTTTCCCTTGGAGAAAACTGGCAGACAACCCTTAACCAAGTGATCAGTCACTTGGGATAACATGTGCCTCCTAATCCGTATGTCTTTCTTATGTATCATTCCTATGATATTCTGGCCAAAAGTACCTAACCTGAATCTAATCATGAAGCAAACATTAGACAACCACAAACAGAGGAAAAGTCTATTAAAATAACTGAACTGTACTCTTCAAAAATGTCAATGTCATTTAAGACAAAGACGAGAAAGTGTCCAGATAAAAGGAGCTTGAGGAGATATTACCATTAAACGCAATGAAAGATCCAGGATTGTCTGTTGCTATAAAGAACATGACTAGAACTGCTCAAATCTAAATAAAGTCTGTAGGTTATTTAATAGTATTGTTGAATATTAATTTCCTGATTTTGGTAACTATACTACAGTTAAAAAAGAACATGTTCTTATGTTTAGAATATATGCACTGAAATATCCTCAGGAAAAGGGCATTATGTTTTCAACTTACTATAGAGACAAGGATACAGTAAAGAATATACAAAAGTTCTTTATAGTATTCTTAATTTTCTGAGGTTAAATGAAAACAAAAAGTGGAAAAAAAAATCTCTGGATTTCTAGTAGTAATTATTTTTCCGAGAGTTACTTGATACATATATTCATACCTGTTCATTATAAATTTAGCTTGGCGCTTCTGTTTGATCTCTTCAACTCTCTTCATTGCATCAACTACAAAAAAAATTCATTAAGAGTTAGCAAATTTTTGCATATCCAAGCAAAAGCTTTAATGATCACTCCCCTTTATTCCCATTTAGAAATGTATTAAATGAAAAACTCATTGTAAAAACAATCCCTACTAAAATAGCTGAAGAAGGTAAATACTCTTGGCTGACATCACTGTTAACTATCTTTCACAAATAAATCTCTATTTTTATTTTACAAAAGCCTTTATTGCTACTAAGTTTTCCTTCTACTTTAAACTAGCCCAATGCTTCTCAAACTTTACAGAGAATGGATTAATGGCAACTAATCCCTTCTTAGCTTGTCCTCTCCCTTAATAAAAGCACCATTCTGGGCATAAATACTATTTCTCTAAGTGCCTGGGATATGATCTGGACAGGATGAATACTGACAGAATAAACCAATCATTTTACCATGTTCCCAACCACTAAAATCCAACTGTTCTGGGAATTGTGTAGAGGAGCTGAATCCAAATATGCTCTAGAATCTATACCAGCACTAAGAGAAACCACACATATAATTTTAAATTTTCTGGCAGCCACATTAGAAAATAAAGAACAGGTCAAAATCTAATAAAAGATTTTGTTTAACCAACATATCCAAAATACTGTCATTTCAACATAGTATAATTACTGAGGTTATTTTATGCTTGTTTTCATCTGAAGTCTTCAAAAACTATTTATTTTACATTTACAGCAAACCTGGATTTAGACTAAACACATTTTTTTTTAAAGATTTTTATTTATTTATTTGACAGATCACAAGTAGGCAGAGAGGCAGGCAGAGAGAGAGGAGGAAGCAGGCTCCTCACTGAGCAGAGAGCCCAATGCGAGGCTCAATCCCAGGCCCCTGGGATCATGACCTGAGCCGAAGGCAAAGGCTTTAACCCACTGAGCCACCCAGGTGACCCTAGACTAACCACATTTTAAGTGCTCAGCAGCCCCTGTGGCTGCCATATTGGGCAAAACACTCCCAATCTAATTTCTTATATTCTATGGATCTGAAGAGGAGCAGGATATTCACATAATCTTAAAATAGCTCCCCAAAATATACTTATTAATTACAAAGGATAAAATACTAACTTTACAGTGAGGAAATGTACCAGAGGCCACCTTAACCAAGGATCAAAGTTAACATGGCCAGAAATTGGACCCCAATGGATAGCATATGCCTCCATATGGCAGGACATAATGATAAGAACTCAGCATCACATCTATGGTATTCTTACCAAATGTATACATTACCCAAATCTAACCTTGAGGCAGTATCAAACAAATGCCAAGTAAGGGATTTTATACCAAATGCGTGACTCACACTCTTCAAAACTATGAATGTCATGAAATATCAAAACTCACAAAATATTAAAATTTTGAAGAGAAAAATAACGCATGTACTATTCTTACACAGGTCTGAGATTAAATGATAATACTAATCAATGCTAATTTATTGATTTTAATGACTATGGTTCTATATGAGAATGTTCTATTTTTTAGGAAATATTGTATTTTTATAGTTCTATTAAACCACTCAGGGATAAGAACATTATGTATTGTCAGGCGCCCCTTAAGTATATAATTTAAGTTCAGAAAATTATAGAAGGAAAGAAAGGGAGAGAGAGAATAGGTAAATTTAGTAAAATGTCATTTGAGGAATCTGAACAAGGGAATTCTTCAACTTTTCTGTTGTCTAAAATTAACTCAAAATAAAAACATTTAAGTGTAGGATGCCTGGGTAGCTCAGTCAGTTAAGCATCTGCCTTTGGCTCATGTCATGATCTCCGGGTTCTGAGATCAAGCCCCACAGCAGGCTCCCTCCTCAATAGGGAACCTGCTTCTCCCTCTCCCTCTGCCTCCCCTCACCCCCGACTTGTGCTCGCTTGCTCTCTAATAAATAAAATCTTTAAACAAACAAAAACAAATACACATTTAAGTGTAACATACTTTTAAATGTATTACTTAATACACATTTAAGTATAATCCGGGGTCCAGCAACATTGGCATTATCTGAGAGCTTGTTAGAAATGCAGAATCTTAGGCTCCACCCAGACATGCTGTATCACAATCTGCATTTTAATAAGACTCCCCAGACAGCCCCATGGGGGCACTGTTATTAAGATGATGCTTCTGTGAATAGTATAAGACAAAGTCAACTCTACATCTGCACATGCTAAATATGCCAGATATACAACTTTTTCTTTCTTTGCCTTTCAAAAGAAATTAAGGATAAGGTCTAGTACTCAAAAGTATTTCTATACCTCAGAGTTACTCAGAAGGGAAATAAAAACACAGAAGTGGCAGGTAAATCCTTTCCAAACAGTAAGACACTACATTTCCAAATATTCCATAAGATTGAAAAATTTTAAATGTAAGAAGCACCTGATACTAAAAACTTGATCTAAAATACAGAGACATAAGGGATAAAATACAAACTATTCTTACTTAGTATTCTTGTTTTGGAAGTTTTCCTACTGTTGACATCAGCATCCTAACAAAGGCTGCTCAGTCCCTATCTTGACACAATTTAAAAATGTAAATAATGAATATAAAATTATTGCCAACAGATTAGCTTACAGACCTATGATATTGAAATAGGGGTTGTGGGAAATCAAATCTGAGGAGGCTATCTTGAAATAGTAACAAAAAAGAAAAGGCCAAAATAAAATTCAATGGGATATAGAAATGCTTTAGGACCTCTAAAAATGTCCTTGACAAGTTTGCCTTTTAGAAACACTGTAAGAATTCGTATCAAAAATGTGTGGTGACAGATGTCAATTAGATTTACTGTGATCATTTCACAATATATACAAATATCAAATCATTACATTGTACACCTGAAATGAATGTTATATGTCGATTATATCTCAATTAAAAGAATCCTATTAATCTCTTCTGAAATCCTTGAGTTTGAATCCATTATTTTTTTAGCAAATAAACCTAGTAAAATCCACTGCTCTTCAGAAATTAACTCTTCCTCTAATTACAAAACAGAAGGAATGACTTTATTTAAAAAAAAACACCAAGAAGCAAAATACTTAAGGCCATGTGGAAAAGGCAATTCCAAAACTGGACTCTGAAATCTCCACATGGTCCAGGAAGATAAAAATCTTTTAGAGGGTGGCAAGTACTACCACAAAGCCCCTAATTTTTCAATTCCTCCCCCAAAGTGCTGTGACTGGGCAAAAGGAGATAAAAAGCCCTGCCTATGAACCATTCAAATCTGATAAAGTCGGGGCACCTGGGTGGTTCAGTTGGTTAACTGTATGCCTTCAGCTCAAGTCATGATCCCAGGGCTCTGAGATCATGCCCTGCACTGGGGATGAGGGGTGGGAGGGTGGAAATCCCTGCTCAGCAGGGAGCCTGCTTCACCCTCTCCCACCTCCCCTCTGACACTGTGCTCTCTGGCTCTATCTCTCTGTCAAATAAATAAATAAAATCTTATAAAAAAAATTGGCAAAGTCCACAGGACTCTGAGCCCTAGGAACTTCTAATTAACAAAACCAACTATATCACCTCTACACCCAAGACTAGAAATGGCTAAAGACTGCATAAGACAGCTGTAGGGAGAAGAAAAGTCAAAGCCAAGAGCCTCAAACATACACATAGGGGCATCTACAAGCTAGCTTAAGGAATTTGGTTTTACTACATATGGGATTTTTTTTTTTCATTAGTCTCTGCCTACTTCGGAAAAATGAAAAAGACAGGGAGTAGTTATCCTTGCTTTTAACTTCAGTAGTCGATAGCTTGATTTATACCTAAGTCATGCACTTAGAAGTTCTCTTAGGAAATATAATTACCATCTTAAGTACTGTACTTTTCAATTTTACAGAAGCATTACATTTTATAAGGTATACAGAATATAATGTTTATAACCCTAACCAAATTATTTAAACTTGTAAAGTATCTTAGGTTTTGTGTATATTTTACCTTTGCCACTCACCCCAAAAAAAGTATTCTCCACCTCTATTCTCAGATTTTTAAATCTTTTTATATCTTTGTATAGACACTTCAAATAATATAAAATCTAATAATTACATTTTTAAAAATATTTTATTTATTTATTTCAGAGAGCAGTGAGCAGTGGGAGGAGCAGAGGGAGAGAACCTCCAGCAGACTGCACACTGAATGCAGAGCCCAACACAGGGCTCCAACCCACGACCCTGAGATCATGACCCGAGTTGAAACCAAGAGTCAGATGCTTAAATGACTGAATCATCCAGAAGCCCTTACATTATTTTTATAATGGACACATCAGCCAATTCTGAAAAGGATTTGGGGCAGCTTATCATAAAAGATGCAAGTACAACAGAACCATTAAATGAGGAAAAGAATAAAAGCCAACCAATGAAAAGAAACTTAATATTTAAATATTAAACATTAAATTCAAAGCACTATCCCAAAATAGTCTCTCCTCAAAATTCCTGGTAATTTTTTGTGACTTACTAGTTTTATTCCATAACTCTCGCTGGTATTTGACAGGTTCATTTCTACGTTTTTCAAATTCAAATGAATTATCCTGTAAGAAAAGGAAAAATATGGTTCTAAGAGAGATACAAAAGGAAGCATTTCTTAAAAACTTCTCTTCGTCACAAGAGTTGTGTTTCAAATCACAGACACATATTAAGATTTCCCTAGGGTGACCCTAGCAAATGCCAAGTTTTCATATCACTTCTCATTTACACACCAGATGTACAAGACAGCCCTACTGAAAACATCAATATAAAAGTGATTTTTAAGAAGACAAGAGAAGGAGGGTATCAGCCCCATCCTTCAGAGGGTCATATTACAATCATGAAAATTTCCAACAAACTGAAGAGGCTTCCCTAATTTCCCATTCCAAGATAAGACAGACTCACAGGCAGAAAACTTTCTATTAGGCTGAACCATATGAATTACCACTTTTCACAGATCAAAAGGAGTCAAACTTTGAGAACTTCACATTGTTGAACCTATACACCTATCATGTTTATACATTTCAGTATTGATATAGCTTTATTATAACATCAAAGTGTAAAACTACACATCTTCAAATAAATGTGGTGCTGCTCTGCATGACAAAATTTTCTCCCAGAAATTTTTCAGGCCCTCACTAAATGTAGGTCGTATTTTGACAGTTAATAAACCCTACTTACCTCAAAATATGTGAAACAATTTTAGAGAAACACTACAAATTTCTTCGAAAAACTGCAGGTCTATTTCTTAGTTTTCAAATCTATCTGAGATAGGCAAATGGAACAGCACTAACTCTGTATTTACCCATTTCATTTACATTTACATGACCTGTTCAATCACAATAACCTCAGCAAGGACAAGGCAACTAACTGGTCACCAGCAAATGACTGTGACTGGCATCCTTTCTTCTCTCATGAATTTGTCACTTGCATTTGAAGTGCTGTTTATTCTCATCCATACCGGAAATTATTTTTGTGACAATAATTGTGAATTGGCTTTGCACCTTGTCAAAAAATATTCTTCCCATTCACTGAAAATGAAGCCAGGAAAGGTCTTCATAGCAATTGCATAGAGACTGACCTTAGGAACCCTCACACACTGTTGGTGAGAATGCAAGTTGAGCAGCCACTTCAGAAAACAGCATGGAGATTCTTCAAAAAGTTAAAAATAGAGCTACCCTATGATCCAGCAATTGTACTACTGGTATTTACCCCAAAGATACAGATGTAGTGAAAAGAAGGGCCACATGCACCCAATGTTCACAGAATGTCCACAATCGCCAAATTGTGGAAGGAGTCGAGATGCCCTTCAACAGACAAATGGATAAAGATGTGGTCCATATATACAATAGAATATTGATCAATAGGACGAATACCCACCATTTGCATCAACATGGATGGAACAGGAGGAGATTATGCTGAGTAAGTGAAGCAGAAAAAGACAATTACACGGTTTCACTTTTATTTGGAACATAAGGAATAGTATGGAAGACATTAGGAGAAGGAAGGGAAAAATGAAGGGGGGTAGAAATCAGAGGGAGAGACAAACCAAAAGACTACAGACTGCGGGAAACAAACTGAGGGTTTCAGAGGAGAGGTGGGTAGGGGAGTGGGTGAGCCCACTAACGGGTATTAAGGAGGGCACAGACTGCATGGAGCACTGGGTGCTATACACAATGAATCAAGGAGAACTACATCAAAAACTAATGATGTCCTTATGGTGACTAATATAACATAATAAAAAAAGAAGAAAGAAAAGAAAAGAAAGAGATACTACCCTTAAAGGAGTAGAGAGGTGGGAAAGAGGAAGTCATGGAGGGAAGGAACAGTTTAAAGATCTTCCTCCTTCAAAGGCAGCTTGGGCAACAGCTTTCACCTCCTCCTTTTATAGGGGTCAAATGTGGACAAGCTTCACCAGGCCCTTGTACCAAACCAGTAACAACCTAATGATGGACGCTCATGCGTGAAATTCCCTCACCCATGACTTCCCATTATTTCTCCTTCAACACACACTTCCCTGCTCTCAAAGTCCTGTAAGGAAATCCAGAAACTAACAAATGAGTCTACAATGAATCTCATCAGAGCCCTCAATGGTATTAAGGAATCCTTTAATCTGTTAGCTTCCTCTTAAAATCCTTGATTAGTAATTTCCAACTTCACCCCAATCCATTTAAATTATCTTCCCTTTTGTGTGCAGGAACTAAAAAATGGTTTTTTGAGAATAAGGAAAATCACTTCCATAAACTGAATTAGGAATTTTTTCCTTTACAGAATTCTGCAGATTTATGGTTTTTAGGATGTTACAATATTATTACAATCGCCAAATACAAATAAATCACTCACCAATCTTGTCATAAAAATTCTTGGTATAGGTAAATTACATTTAATACCTAATAATAACCTTCCCATACCAAAGTTAGTAATTATACTGATAGCTAACTATACTCACCACTGTAAGCTCTTTACCAGCTGCTTTACGGAATGCTTTAGTCCACCTGACCTTGCGAGGATTCCGCTTCTTTTTAAAGTTTTTATGACACTTGGATTTACAGAATCTGAACACCTACAAAAAAAGTTAAAATACTGGAGTCAACATTAAGAATGTTTCTATCCTAGGATGTTATGCATGCCATAAAAATATAGTGCAAAGTCTGAGAAATGACAATGGTTCTAACAACTCCTTCTACTTACAACACCATTTAAAAATATGTGAGACATATAAGATTAAATGTAAAATGAACTATTCTTTTTTACTATTATTTGACTATCAAATATCATCACAACTAATGGCTCAAGAGCCCCAAGTATATGGTTAAAAATCACCAGTCATTTTTATAGATTAACAATAAAACCTTAAAATCATCATGAATAATAACAACGGTTTCAAGGAAAGTCATTTATTTAAATCCCTTCCTACTTAATAATAATTCTCAAATTTCACTTGCTATATACCTCAATGGGGGTGAAAGTTTCAAACACCTATTCCAAAATCTCCTTTGGTTCTTTCCATCTTTTTTGTTAACAGCACAAAATAATTTCAAAAAAGCAACTAACATTGGGTATAGATTTGTGTTCTAAAGTATTTACTCACAGGTCTACTAGGAAAGTTCTTCAATATTATAATTCTCTACCTTTATGCCAGAAGATATGACCCTTTATCAGTGCTAACTTATGATTTAATGATGCTTCAATGTGCCCCTGAAATGGCTTACTGGGACTCACTGGAAGTCTAAAATACTTTATTCCTTTTTAATGTCTTAGAGCACACTGCAATTTGTACGTGTAGAGGAAATCTGAAAAGAAAAAGTACTACTTTTAGAGTACTAGATCTTGACAAAGAATCTTAAGTTTAATTATCCTACCTAGAAGATGTGGCCCATAAAAAAAAGTCAAAATGAGGTATAAATATTTCAAATTGTGTGTACAGATCACAAACCTGTGTGTATATATCACAAGCCAAAATACTTTTCATTTTATATACACTTTGCTCTATGGGGGAATTCAAGCAGGTCCCTATACACACTAGGACACAGTTTTCTTAGAACAGTATAATACTAGTTTAATCTGACCCAGGTAAGTACCTCCTAGAGAGGACAGGAGTCAAAACATGTCTATATTGTTGAATTAGTTTCAAGGCAAATGGAAATATATGCATACAAGTGGATCTCCTAGAATATCCCACTATGAATTCACTATCAGTAAATTTTTTAGTATTTTCAGGCCAAAGGACTATTAACTTTTTAAGTAAAAGCCTCCTACATTTAACACCTTCTAGATAACTCCTAGACAAGTCCCCATTTCTGAGATATACCGAATGAGATGCCTGAACTGAATCCTGGGTCTCCTCAATTCCAGAGCCAAGGAGAGTTACAGAGAAGTCTACTTGAACTCTATATCTAATAGATGTTAACTTTAAAAGAACAAGGAAGTATCTGAAGAGAATGGAATCACTGGAGATGTGAAGGGAATTCAATCCACAAATAAGGTTCTACTATGTACCTGATATTATCAGGTGCTAGAGATACAAGAACAATTAAAATATGATACTCTACCATGAGAAGCTTAGACTAGCATTATTAATAGTCTCGATTTACAAAGGAGACATTGAGATCAGGATAGGGCATACACAATACATACAATGATCATGTTTAAGTAACATGGAAATACAAAATAAGGGAGTGATTTAATCTATGGTGGGGTAGGTGATGGATAGATTGTGAGGCAAAACTTCATAGTCCTCTATCATCATCCTCAGTTTGCAACAAATGATCTAATATTTCAGCTTCAAAGTTCTTCAACTCTTTCTTAAATTCCACTGATTGAACACTTATTAAGGACTCATTAAGGGCACGTGTATTTTCTATGTTTGCAAAGTACATGAAAATATGGAACATTAACACTAATTCTACCATTAAGAAGCCACCCAAGAAGCCTAAGAGGGGCGGTTTCTATGAGAAACAGTCTCAGATGCTAAGAGAAAAAAGGCAAAAAAAAGAGTGGCTATAAAAATGACCAGTGCCTAATCTGGAACCAGAGTGGGATGGCAGAAAGAAAGCAAAGACCACTATACTCTGCACAGGCAGATCGATGACCTCATAACTAAATGAAAGGTGCAAAGATGATTCACACACGTCTAGCAAAACTGTCTAGACATATGACAGTGGTATTAATTCAGAAAACAAAAAAGATCTGAGGTAATTAGGAATTCTTTCAATAGGCTCACTGCTGGTTACAGACAGGATCTCCGCATCCAGTGGAAAATTCAGACTAGAGCTAAAAAGATACAGATTTGAGAATCATTAACACAGAAAAAAAAAAAAAAAAAAAAGAAATACCTATCTTCCTTAGAGCTTCAGGATCTCTGCTTCTTATATCCCCAGCTAACTCTGTTTGGGATCCACGGGTCTTCCCTAGAGTAAGATGGCTCCCAGCCAATTCTAACCTGTCCTTGCTAGCAATACAGACTTCCTCATCAATAGGAATTTCCACTGTGTCTGCCAGATCAACACCCAACTCTAGATAGCTCCCATGATCTGTTGTTTTAATTCCTATACCCACCTGAGAAGCAGTGCTCGACAAAAATCATAAAATTATGATGACCAGATCATCTACAAAGCCATTGTGCCCACTGTGAATTAAATGCCAGCCTAACAACTATTTAGTTCGTTTCTATAAACTTTTTATCATGTTCTGACAACAGATATTCAAAAATCTTCTGCATGTTCTTTCAAGTTCCCAAACCTAGCTTTGGTCCCACACTTTCCGCAGGAACCCCTTGCTCCTAACTAATGACGTCAATATCTTCCACCTGTAAGAGATATACGGTGATGACATAGGATCTGTATTTCTTTAGCATATCAAAGTCACCTGTTTGGAATCCTAGATCCTCTTCTCCTCCCCACAAAGACACCAATTTAACAGAGCTAGTGGAAATGAAAAATCTTTTTTTTTTCACCAGTGCCCAGTGATTCAGAAACAAATATGAGAGGTCGAATTCTGAGAAACAATGTATTAAATAAGCATAGAATGAGATTCATTCTGCTATAGGACAAATTCATGTATCATTCAAAGTCTTTCGCAACCAGGCCTCGTAATTACGTTTATATTTTATGTTTACGTACGTAACTTTTTGTATACAGACTCATAGGTGTATTTATAGCCTTACCCCTGGCCTCTATCACGATATACAATGCACTCACTTCCCTAGAGGCTGCTTCGCAGCGCCTCTACTCAACCGTTCACTTCACTTGCACTTAGAATGCACTCTCTTCCCTTTTTTACGCAACATTCAAGACCCAGGATAAATGACATCTCCTTTCTGAGCCTCTTCGTATACGACCCTCCCCAAGTCACCTGCGCCTTCGTAATACAGGACTACTACTAAGCTACAGGTAACAGTTCAATCAACTTCTACACGTCACGGACATTCTCAGGTTTTATTCGTCTCTGTGGACACAGGCCTTAGTAATGATGCTTGACTGGGCATACATTCAACAAAGTCTGCTGAATTCAAGAACTTCACTCACGTACAAGAGAAACCAAACAGCCCAAACACAGCCCCGGATTCCATTCGGCGCTGGCTCAAATAACTGGGGAACCTCGCCGCCGCCAGCCTTGTCCAAAGCTGGGCTGCTGAAAGGGCTCGGTTTGGGACACCCACAAGGAGTAATGCCCTCAGGTCAAGGACGAGGCCAGAGCTCCTTGTAAAATCACCCTCTTGTGAGGACAGCGCATAAGACCCGAACCAAACGCTCCAGGAGCAGGAGAACCCGGCCTCGAGCCCGCCCCGCCTCACGCTCGCTGGAGCGTGGCAGAGCGCGCGCTCGTCTTGGGCGTCTCACCTTGCAATCGTTGCGTACAAACATCATGCCGTGGCCGGGGTAAATAGGGCCCGAACAGAAATAACACTTCTCAATACGCATGTTGAAACCGCGTGAGGTCCCACTGCCCAGACGCCGATCTTAAGTGGAAGTGACGCAGCTGGGTCACAGGAAGTGATTCTCTTCAATACCCGACCCGGAAAAAGCGAACGTCCTACTTCCTTGAGGGCCCTGGGATGCTGTCCGTATGTGACGGCGCCACCCAGCGGCCGGGCAAGCAACAGCGCTGCCGTTTGGCGCAGGCGCAGAGCTGCAAAATTGGCCTCACGACCCTCGCTTTTCGGGAGTGAAACGTGCCGCTGTCTCCTTTCTGAGCTCGCTTCCACAACGCCTAGTTTTCCTATAACGTACCCTATAACGTCATACCCTATAACATCAGCATTTACTCATATCTTATATGGTTTGTGCTTTATCCCCGGCTGACTCCACCCACTGGGACGCCTCTAAGAACTCCTTTCTCCGCTGCCTGCCCTTTTACCCGCCCATGATTGACGTCCCCAGCGTAGCCGGGTCGCCAGCCGCACTGAGAACCTACTTCGGACATTAGGACCTACACATAGGATTCTCAGAGGCTCAGAGAACGTTACCAGCAGTTGTTTAAAGACTTGTAGTAATTTTTTACCTTTTCTCCCCCTTTTATTTAATATACATGTGGTAAAAGGGAAAAAAAGACATTTTTGTAGGAAACAAAGTTTCGTTCCCTCGTCAGACCTCGAGATCTCATTCCCGGTGGCAATCGGCTCCTTTTATTACCTGTCAAAGATTTTCTGTGCGTAGACAAACATGTTTATGTCTGTGTGCCTGTGCCTCCCTCTTCTTTTTAACACTAATGAGCATCCTATTCACCCTTTTCTGCATTTCACTGTGATCTGTCCCCTATTATTGGAATAAGAGCTCCAAGAGGATAGGGTTTTTGTCTTTTTGTTCAGAGCTACAGCTCCAATATCTAGAATAGTTCCTGGAACATAAATATATATTTTCTTATTAATGAATATTTAACATTTTTTTAAGATGTATTTATTTGAGAGAGCGTGTACACCTGTGAGCGGGTGAGTGGTGGGGGGAGTCCTCCAGCAGACACCTGCTGGGTGTGGAGCCCCTCACCAGGCTCAATCCCAGGACCCTAAGATCAGGACCCGAGCCAAAATCAAGAGTGGGTGGCTTAACCGAATGAGCCACCCAGGGGCCCCTAACATTCTTTTTCATAGTTTGTATGTATATGCTGTTGTATGAAGGTGTCATTTTTTTTTAATTTTATTTATCTATTTGACAGAGATCACAGGTAGGCAGAGAGGCAGGCAGAGAGAGAGGGGGAAGCAGGCTCCCCGCTGAGCAGAGAGCCCTATGCTGGGCTCGATCCCAACACCCTGGGATCAGGACCTGAGCCGAAGGCAAAGGCTTTAACCCACTGAGCCACCCCGGCGCCCCTGAAGGTATCATTTTAATTGGTCGCCTATGGATGGACATTGTTTCCTATTTTTTTGGTATAACAAACATCCTTATATTCCTGGCAAGGAATTTTGCACTCCAGCAAAGACAGAAGGGAAATAGAAAGCAGAAAGCAGTTTATTAAGGACAGTATGCTCTCGAGGTGAGAGAGTGGGCTGGCCCAGAGGTGGCGACTGCTCTAGGACTAGAGGGTTTCTTTCTTTTTATAGGAGCGGGGGTCTTCTTCCAAGAGGCACGGTCTCTAATGGAGGCTGCTTCCAATCATTTGCGGGACTCCTCCCACAGTTTGGGGAGGGGGAGTTTTTGACCCTATAAGGTTTGAACCAAAACTGTCAAGGCAGCCTTTGCCCACTGAGTGGGGCTAAAAGCGCAATGCAAATGTGTTATAATGAGTTTAGGGGTTACCCTGGGGCAGAGGTGGAAGAGAAGAGCCAATTCTGCACCTGCGATTCTTGGTCTGTTAGCCGCAGGGACTTGGATGCCACAAAGTCAGGATGTTGTGCCCCCAGGCTTCTAACGTGTCACCTGTTCATCGCCTTCCTTGCCTCCAGCTCACTTCTAACTAAATGCCTACTCTATCACTTACTGATACACTTTTTTTTTTCTTCCAAAAGAGAGTTTACAGAGAAAGGCTAGGTCAGAGGATATGATAGGTATTCTTTTAAAATTTGGAAGCTAATACTGAATGCTCTCTAAAAGGTTTTACCAATTAACACTCAACAACAACCACTAAGATCCTGATTTCACTACATCCTTGTCAAAAAAATAATCTTTACCAGTTTGAGGTTAAAATTTACTTCATTATTATTTTCACTTGCATTTATTTATGAATGAGGTTAAGAATTTTTCCAAATTTTCAAAATCTATTTTGTTCTGTGAATTGCCCCACAGTGATTCTTAACAGCACTTTACGTATTAAGAAAGTTAGTGCTTTGCTGACATTAGATACTATTTCCCAATTTATTGATATTTTAAATTTTGCCTATAGTATTTTTCCATCCAGAAGTTTCCTTTGTATATATCCAAACTCATACTTTTGTTTGTTTTGGATTTGCTGTTTTGCTTAGAAGGCATTTCCCTCTGCAAAGTTGTTTTTCAACAATTTTTCTCCATTATTTTTACAGTATTTTTCACATTTGAATTTTTAACTAATCTGGAATTTACTTAAGTATAAATGACATAGGATTCCAGTTTTGTCTTGTTTTTTTCTAATAACGTATGTTGAGTAAGGCATCATTTTCTTCCACTAATTCAAAATGTCTCTTTATGTGCCAGTTCTGAAATGTTTAAATTGTAATTTTTTAAATAACTGGGTTTACCTGCAGCCCTTCTCTCACTTTCTTGGCCTTCTTTTTCATTGCTTCTCTGGCTATTCTTTAAAGTTTATTTTTTCAGTTTAACTTTAGAATCAGTTTGTCTAATTAGAATCAATAAATACATATAATTTTTCCTTTCATCTGGTCATTATATTTACTTTTCTTCTCTAATCATTTGACTAGTAATTCCAGAACAATGTTAACAACAAAGGCACATATCAGAAATGTTAGTAATAAACATTTGCCCAAAATTTATTGTCAACCAAGAGACTGAAAATTATTTAATCCTTGTTAAATCCTCTCCCTCTCTTATTCCCATCAACAATTACAGAAGAGTCTCACCAGTCCTCCCAAGCTATTTACACAATTCCCTCACAACTCTGTTTTATCCTGCTACTCAAAAAAGAAATCTCCTACCCTTCTCACTTACATGATCACCCAGCATCCCCCTCTTACCTTCAATATCAGAGGCCACATCCTTTATCAGTGGTCTTAATCCCGTGCCCTAAGGTTTCATTGGAGTCTTTGTTCCTTTCAGCCTATAAGCATATTCAGTACTTTACTTTAGGTTGAATGGATGAGTAGCCTGTCTTCAAAGCTTTTTTCTTTCCAATTATTACAACAGAATGCATGCGAAAAGAGAGAAAGACATGGAGACCACATCCAATAAATTGAGCTAAAATCTTGGAAATATTATTTCTTTTCATTCATCCTGCTTGAGACATGATTTCTGAATCTGAAAGTATGTGTTTTATCATTACTAAAAAATCTTCAGCTCTTTTCTTATATTGCTTCTTTTATTTTCTCTAATTTCTTCTTCTAGAATTCCTAATGGATATAAATTGGAGCTTTTATCTTTCCTCTGTATCTCTTTCCTTAGTTGCTCTTTATCTCTGCTGAAGTCTGTGTAATTTCCTCCAAACTAGCTTCTAGTTCACTAATTCTCTCCAACTGTGTCAAACTCGCTATTCAACTTTTGACCATTAAGTTTTGAATATCGATGGCAATATTTTTCATACATGAAGTCTTCATTCAATCCAATTTTGTAACTTTAATAATGCCTTCTTGGGGCGCCTGGGTGGCTCAGTGGGTTAATGCCTCTGCCTTCGGCTCAGGTCATGATCTCAGGGTTCTGAGATCGAGCCCCGCATCGGGCTCTCTGCTCAGCAGGGAGCCTGCTTCCCCCCCCCCACTCTCTCTCTCTGCCTGCCTCTCTGCCTCCTTGTGATTTGTCTGTCAAATAAATAAATAAAATATTTAAAATTAATAATAATGCCTTCTTTTTCCAGGTGTTTCAATTTCTTTTGTTTTTAATTTTCTTAAACATTTTTACCTTATGATCCCCATCTGATAAATATATTATTTGAAGTTCTTAAGTGTAAAATACTGCTGCTTTGGGTTTACTGACCCTTACTCATGATTGAGGCTGAGAGAGCAGTGAAGGAATGGGTTGTCATTTTTAATTGCGAGTTCATCCTTGTAGAGTGTTTTCTGGAAGAGTCCTGTAAAGTGTGGGTGGAGATGTTCCCTCTGAAAAGATTTTGCTTTGCTTCTACTAAGTCGTCCAGAAGTAGTACCAGTCACAAATCACTTTTTAATGTTAACTTCTTGGCTTAGCCATTCTCAGACAAAAAAAAAAGTAGGTACTATAAATTTGAACCTAAACCCGTATAAAAAGTTCTACGTTTATCAGGAGAGACTGAGACATAGAGTGGATCCTGGATTTTTGTCTCTTTGGGGGTGAGGGCTTCTTCATTCCAGTGCCCTACCTCCACCATATCTAAGACTTTCTCCCCTAATGGCATGTAGTCACTAAAACCAAGCACCTTGGTTACTAATACTGGCAAAATGAAACCAAAAGCAAACCAGACTTAGTATCAAGTTGTTGAAATTTCTTTCTGTTGCTGCCATTGCTGTCGCCCTGTTATTGTCTATTTTGCGGGAGGAAAGGGGTGGTCGCAGAATATTTCCCTTACTTTATTGAAAGATCAATACTACATTTTAAAAATGGCGCCTGGGTGGCTCAGTGGGTTAAGCCTCCGCCTTCAGCTCGGGTCATGATTTCAGGGCGCCTAGGATGGAGTCCCATGTCGGGCTCTCTGCTCCACGGGAAGCCTGCTTCTCTGTCTCTCTCTCTCTCTCTGCCTGCCTGCTTCTCTGCCTACTTGTGATCTCTCTCCCTCTCTGTCAAATAAATAAATAAAATATTTTTTAAAAAATACATTCATTATGGGGCACCTGGGTGGCTCAGTGGGTTAAGCCTCTGCCTTCAGCTCAGGTCATGATCCCAGGGTCCTGGGACTAGCTCAGGTCATGATCTCAGGGTCTTGGGACTGAGCCCCGCATCAGGCTCTCTGCTCAGCAGGGAGCCTGCTTTCCCTCCCTCCCGGCCGTCCCCTGTCTGCCTCTTTGCCTACTTGTGATCTCTGTCTGTCAAATAAATAAATAAAATCTTTAAAAAATATATTCATTATATTCTATTCAGCATTATCTACATGTTTTATAGTGGAAGAACTTTCCAGTTATATAGTCACCAATACTGCCAAAAATAGAAGTCCTAGAAATAAAATACCATACAGAAATTTCCAGTTTATAAAAATGTCAATCAAAACATTCCCTTTGAACATTTGTTAGATTGTAGCAACCTTGCCATCAACTTTAAGATACAGAATGTACTTCTCAGATTTCCCAATTTCTCACATAAACCATAAACACATGTGAGCCCGTCTAAACATTTTTGAAGCTGTTTTTATTTTCAAATTCTACGCCTCTTTGAACATTAACAGTGACTCCTCTTTGAAAACTCATTCAGTTGACTCTGCTGCCACTGAAGTCCTCTGCGCAGTTCACCAATAATGTACTGTGTAGTGGCCCTTTTCTGTATAGTGGCAACACAATTCTGAAGAAAGTTGCCTGAGTCCCATTTGTCATGGAGTTTATATCTTTTCTTTTTTTAAGATTTATTCATTTATTTATTTGAGAGAGAGAGAAACAGCATGAATGGGAGGGGCAGAGGGAGAGGTAGAAGCTCAAGCAGACTCCATAATGAGCAGAATCCCCAGAATAACCTAGAATACCTCAGAAGGAGAAGTATAATGAAGTTATATTCACACACAAACTTGGCAGACTAGACCACTTTTTAATTAAAAGCTTAATTGGCACAAAGTTCGCTTAGAATACACTTCACTTTTACAGTCTTATAAATAGAAAAATGTACTGATGCCCAAAAATGATGCTTTAACACCAAATTCAAACAAAGGATTTCCAAAGAGAATACAGGTTATTTCAATAATTAAAGATAGTTCTTGCATGTGTACTGTATCATGCATATGTTTAATTGTGTATTATGCGTAAAGCCAATGGGGAATTAGCTGACTGCTAATTGCTAAAAGTGAAACATACAAATATTGTCTTCTTTTGAACTACATAACAGATCATATAAAATGATGCCTGATACATAGCTGTAAAATTAGGATTTGCTCCACTGAAGTCTACAGCAACTTTAGAAGGTACTGCTGTGATTAGGGCACTATCTTGTAATGTCTGGATCTTTTCCTTACTGGAATACACAATCCAAATGCATAGGACTCAATGACTTTCTTAGTATTTAAAAGAAGTCTTCACTCCAAGGATAGAAACATATAAGATTTTACTAATCACAGCTAATTTTTTTAAGGGAGTAGTAGGAAGGAAGTGGCAAAGAAATAGGATAGATACTCAATAAAAAGCTATTTGAAAATAACCATGTAAAAGTAATTACTTCCATCATAGCTATATGCTCCTAACTACAGTTCTTCCAATCATTTGCCACCACAATATGCATTTATTATTATTCTTTGTTTAAATTATAATGAATGGTAATTCTTTCTAAATAGCCACTAAACTCTTCGGAAATTTTAATCTAATTTACTTAAACCACTTTAATAAATAAGAATTTCCCCTATGACCTTTATAAACGCCTGCCACGAAGCATATTTTAAAACTAACTTTAATCTGATACAAAGACACTTAGGCAATGCAGAGGAATTCATGATCTTGGCAAGACCCAGCAAGTACAATAAATGCCTGTGATCTCAATAAAAAATATAGGTTATTTAAGGCTTCATTTTTCTTATATTGAGCTATAGTATAAATGTAACTGCTTAAATACAAACATCCTTCTTCTACCAGATAGCAAACATTTTATGTAATTAAAATCTAATTCCTTCAATTCCACCACTGTAAAAATAAAACAAGTTGCAAATATCAATAATACAAAGCATGACGGTGAAGACAAAAAATTAGTAGTTTACAAGCTAATTAAAACTGCAGTCTGAGGATGCCAGACCAACATTATAAATATGAAGAAAAAGAAGCTAAATGCTTACTTATCACAAATAACTTTGGCATAAGCACCAGCTATGTTCAAATGTGGCCAGCGTGTAGGCCAAGTATAAACACACAGATCATAGTGAAATAAAGCCACAAAAATTTAATTCCCTGATCCTTCAATCAACCCTTCAGAGCAGTGGGAATATAGCAGGAAGCTAGAAGCCCCACTTCCGTTGCTCATACTATATTAAGGTACCCCTAACCTCATCCCCAATCCCCTTCCTACCAACAAGAGTCATAGTGAATATACAATTGGTCAATCCACTTTATCCAGTCTATAGATAAAAGCATCATCTATGCTATATTCATTTTAAAGACACTGTTCATATAAATTAATACTCAAGGACATTGAAATGATGTTCGTGTATATTCTTATTTAACAATCAAGTGGTTTAGATGGCATTTTATAAGGTCACCCACAGTACGAGTAGTAGGGTTTTTTAATTTGGATTAAAGATTGGTAGTTTTATCATTGTATCTAAGATTTTGAGTGTTAGACTCTGGACTGATGTATGTTAAGGCAGATGATGGTATCTTTAGTCTTTCTACATAATAAATGCACTCTGTTGTGGCTACGAATTCCTCAATTCTGAATCATCTACTACCATGCACTAAGGTTTTATAAGGCACTTGTGGCTCTGCGAAATATTTCTCATAACTCTGGGGCTGAATGTTAAGTATTTACAGAGCTGCAGCAAATAAATTTTAAAACCAGAGAGATCTAATTGAAATGGTAGAAGCAGTTTGTACGCTATGCCTGTTCATCTCTCTCTGTGCCATGTATCGCCCATAGAAAAGACCACAGACACGGGCCACTTGAATGACTGTGTAGCTCACTGGACTCTTCAACAGCCACAGATCCCCTTCTCCTTTTCTTCATTCAAGTGATCTCTAGAGGTGTGACCATTGGACCGGACCACTCCTTCAGGAATCCAGGATTTGTCTACACACCGTTCCATTCGCTTCATTATCAGGTCCAGGAGCATCTCAATTGCTTCGCTTACGTTTGTCCCGTTGGCAGCACTAGTTTCAAAGTAGGGAATTCTGCAAGACAGAGACAACTCAGGTAACAACATATGGAGGGAAAAGACAGTGACCTTTGCCCTTGATAATTCAACTTCAAAAATGAGGATAAATATATAAGGTAATAAAAACACTTTACCACAGGGGCACCTGGGCAGTTCAGGGGGTTAAGCATCTGCCTTCAGCTCAGGTCGTGATCCCAAAGTCCTGGGATTGAGTCCTGCACTGGGCTCCCAGCTTGCTAAGGAGTCTCTTTCCCCCCTCCCTCTGCCCCTTCTCCTGCTTGTGCTCTCTTTCTCATGAATAAATAACATCTTAAAAAAAAAAACCAAAAACTACCACAACAGTAAAGTAAAAAAAAAAAAAAAAGACTCAAAAATAATTGACACTTCACTCCTAATAGAGAAAAACCTCTGGAAATTTTCATTCCCATTTCACAGATGATTAAACTGAGGCTCAGAAAGATGAAGTGATTTGCCCAATTTCATAAAGATAGAAAGTAGCAGGGCTAGGATTTGAACCCACAGTGGCTTGATTCCAGTGTAACCAACTTAACCATAAATTCTACTGGTTCCAAACTAATCTACTTTGTATGAGGATATCCAGAACAAATCCCTTTCGTTTGCTGCACTTGCGGGAGAGAGGGACTGACATCAGAGAGGAATGCAAGCTCACTGGCTGTGTTCATCAAAGGTTTTGCCACTTGTCAACTCCAGGCTGTATTCTTGGGCCATAAACTTGAAGACATTCTAAAATCTACAACATCTCAGAGTTTCTCAAGGACATCAGTCCTTTATTATCCAAGGATCTTGGTAAATTTCTTTAAACTTGTAATAACTCACAAAATATAGTTTCAAAACCATAAGGCTGCTTCTCACATAATTTTGAGAAATCAGTCTTCTTGCAGTGGGTTAGTCTTAGTGGATTAATCAACTTCTACATTCTTCCTGCTTCTTAATGAAGCCGTGAAAACAGTGATAAAACTTTATTTTCTCAAACTATTGAGTTCATGTCTACCATTTAGTAAGAAATCTCACCAAAATGCTCTGAGATATAAAAACTGCAAAATAAAGTTGTTTGAGAACCTCAGGGTGTTCTGCAATTGAATTCAGTAAAGTGTTCCTTACATTTATGGGGACTTTAAAATCCTCCACCAGTATTAATTTTCTTGGAGAACACCTTTGTTTTCTCATGTTCTCCTAGAATGTTAACACTACATCAGTGACTCTGATTACAATGTCAGTTACTCTTTCTATTATTTCTTGGCTAGGAGCAGCTTCTACAATGAGAGCTTTATATATAAATATATATAATATGTAATATTATATATAAATATATATAATATGTAATATTATATATTAATATTATATATAATAAATATATTAAAAAGAGCTTTATTTATAGATTTCTTTTTTAAACTTTCTAGTGCTTTTATAGATCTTTCCACAGCTGCTTTGCTTCTCATGTCACTAAGCACATTAGGGGGTACACGTGTAGGAATGGAAGGCTATTTCTCCATTATGATTCTTTGTGATGCTATCTTATTATCTGCACACTTCCTGTAAGAGCTGACAGGCCCTGTAACTGGATCTCTTCAATTCTCTCCTGCTTTAGGATAGCTCTTAAAAACTGGATGAGGAGGGGCGCCTGGGTGGCTCAGTGGGTTAAGCCTCTGCCTTTGGCTCAGGTCATGATGTCAGGGTCCTGGGATTGAGCCCCACATCGGGCTCTCTGATTGGTGGGGAGCCTGCTTCTCTCTCTCTGCCTGCTTCTCTACCTACTTGTGATCTCTCTCTCTCTGTCAAATAAATAAATAAATAAATAAATAAATAAATAACTGGATGAGGAACTCATAATTCATCTGAGCATTTATCCATCCACCTGTGAGTACTGTGAGACATGGTTGCTCCACCGATTCTACCATGCCCACAATCAGATCCCTCAGACTAACTCTAAAACACATTAATCAGAGAATGGTATGCTGTGCAAATTACATGGTCTTAATCTTTTTGAACCTCCTGCCTGGCTACATCTTCGTTGTTATCAGTCTTCTTAATTCCACCTTCATCTGCTGCCTTATCCACAAAAAGAAGATAATGCATCTTTCCCATTTCCCTGGTCACATGCAGTATTTGATTACCAAGTATTAAGAGGGTATCCTTTGTGGGGATTCAACACTTATTTATCAAGCACTTATGATGTTTTTGAGCTAAATCATTGGAATGGTGCTTTATGCTACCATTGTTACAGGAATACTTTGAGATTGAGAATTCTCAAAATTTCAATACTTATATTTTCTTCATCCTATGCTTTCTCAACTACACCATGAAGAATCATTTAAAGTCTACAGAACATTTCTCATACTTAAAAAGAAGGCTTAAAAATTCTATCACCAGGGACGCCTGGGTGGCTCAGTTGGTTAAGCAGCTGCCTTCAGCTCAGGTCATGATCCCAGCGTCCTGGGATCGGGTCCCACCCACATCGGGCTCCTTGTTCTGTGGGGAGCCTGCTTCTCCCTCTGCCTCTGCCTGCCACTCTGTCTGCCTGTGCTCGCTCTCTCTCTCTCTCTCTCTCTCTCTGACAAATAAATAAATAAAATCTTTAGAAAAAAATTCTATCACCATTCAGAAATAAATTGTTTCATGGAAAAGCAATGGTAAAATTCATCCCTCTCCCCAAGAATAATAAGCTGAAATTGGAAAGGCAAAAAGAGAGAGAAAGAGAAAGAAAAGGAGGAGGGGGAGGAAGAGGAGGAGGAGAGAAGGTGGGAGTGAAGGAGGAAAGAAAGGAAAGGAAGAAGAAAGAAAAAAGAAAGGAAAGGAAGAAAGAAAAGTGAGCAGAACTTTATCATAGTAATGCACATCTGATTTTTTGAAATCCCCTTAAAGTCCATTATAAAAATAGCTTTTGAGTTCAAGTCCTGAGCCTCATTGATTTCCTCAACTGAATCTCCATTAAGCTATTTGCATTTTCCATTGTTTTTCCCTCTCAGCTCCTGAAAATTGCCTCAGTTATTTTTGAGGCATAAATGAGAAATCACAAGTTGAAAATACTTCTAAAATCCATAAAAATCTATGCATAGAAAGAAATCCATAAAAATCTATGCATAAAAATCTATAGAAATCTACATATAGAAGTTAGAAACATCTTGGACAAAGGTTAAGAGCCATAATCTCTGAAGTCAGGCTGCCTGGATTCAAATCCAAGAACGACCCTGGCAAGCCATGAAACTCTGTGCCTCAGTTGCTTCACCCATAAAACTAAATAATATCAGTGCCTTCTTGTAAGGATTAAATAAGTTAACATTTAAAGTGTTTATATCTGAACTGACACATAGGAAATGTGTCATTTTTGATACTTGTGTCACTGATAAATGTTTCTTATTTCCAACACAGAATAGGGTAGGTACAAAAGTTTCCTTGTAATTTTGTTGTTTAACACTCAGAACACATCATCCCATAGAAACAGTGTCACTGAGTCACGGACAGTCATAGCTCCAAGAGACCTGAGCAACATTATAAACATTAAATTCCCAAACTAGCTTACAAACTATTGATTTAATCCGTAAGGTAACTGATCTATAGTACTGTCCTAAATTCTAGTACCTGGGACCATGCTTCCTTCCCTACGTCAGAGTTGGCTCACTCAGACCTGTCCTTGCTGAAGTGCTTCATGCTCCAAAGCATCTGCCTACCATGAGTCCCTATCGGATTCCTCATTGCCCCAAGTGACCTTCACCAAATGCAGAGAGAAAGGGATCTGACTTTACTGATTAATACTAAGGTATAAATGACTGGTACCTCTAGCAGACCTATAAGCTATTTAATATATTTACTAACTTAAGCAAGTATTTATTTATTTTTTTAAGATTTTATTTATTTATTTGAGAGAGAGACAGTGAGAGAGAGCATGAGAGAGGAGAAGATCAGAGGGAGAAGCAGACTCCCTGTGGAGCTGGGAGCCTGATGCGAGCCTCGATCCTCGGACTCTGGGATCATGACCTGAGCCGAAGGCAGTTGCTTAATCAACTGAGCCACCCAGGTGCCCTAAGCAAGTATTTAATTGGTAGAACTTCAGGGTATAGGAGGTAAGTTATAATTTTTTAATTCACTCATAGAAATATTGTACATCTTTTAATAAGATGTAGTTTATTAGGGTACCTGGGTGGCTCAGTCGTTAAGCATCTTCCTTTGGCTCAGTCATGGTCCCAGCATCCTGGGATCCAGCTCTGCATGGCATCAGGGCTCCCTGCTCAGCAGGAAGCCTCTCCCTCTCCCACTCCCCCTGCTTATGCTCCCTTTCTTGCTGTCTCTCTCTGTCAAATAAATAAAATCTTAAAAAAAAAAAAAGATGATTTTTTAAATTATGTTCAATTAGCCACTCTATAGTACATAATTAGTTTTTGATGTAGTGTTCAGCAATTCATTAGTTTAGTATAACACCCAGTGCTCATCACAACATGTATCCTCCTCAATACCCACCACCCTGTTACCCCCGCCCCCACCTCCCTCCCCTCTGAAACCCTCAGATTGTTTCCCGGGTTCCATAGTCTCTCATGGTTCATCTCCCTCTCTGATTTCTTCCCATTTAGTTTTCCCTCCCTTCCCCTATTGTCCTCTGTGCCATTGCTTATGTTCTGTTGGGGTCGATTCCACGTTAAAACCTGTTAAACCCCTAGGGCCTGCCTGGGCCTACTTAGCCAAAGTGACTCCATGTTGCCTAGGTAGACATTTTGTTGTTTAATAAATGCCTCAGCAGTTACTGATATCAGTTCCAGGTAACTGTTGCTAAAACACACACCTAAAACAAGGCCATTTTGTTTAATAAACACCTCAACAGTTATTGATATCAGTTCCAGGTAACTGTTACTAAAACACACAGGTAAGAGACACATCCAATCAGCCAAAGCCACATACATAGAGGTCTGTGGTTGCGCCGTATAAAACTAACCCGTAAGACCAAGGAGGGGGGGTGTCGCTCTCTTCGGAGGCGGCCCTGGCCGGTCAGTCTGACTTATAATG